ACCTGTTGACCCTCAAAAAGCCAGAAAGAGATGTCATACGTAGCCTGTGTTCACTTGCAGAAAATTAAGATGGAAATGGAAAGACAACGTTACTTCCAGAACCACAGAAATCCCTGCTGGCTTGTAGGGGGCCGCCCAGGAGGCGCCCGGGGAGACAGCCAGGGCTCCCAGCCCCCCTGTGGCTCGGGAGGGCCTGCTCCCCGGCCCGGCCTCCCCCGACCCCAAGGCCTCCCCAACGGACCCTCCAGGCCTGGCCCCACCCCCCTCCGGGCGGCTGTGCTCCCTCCTTCCTGCCCAGGTAGGAACGCAGCCCCACTTTCTCACCCGGGAATGTCCCCTCTTCCGGAAATCCCCCCAAGGAAATAATCCTCAAGTGAAAAATTTTGATACACAGAGATCTATGCATTGCATCTCTGGCCAGAAATAACGAATAACCGGCCGCAGCCACCTAAATGTCCAGCAGTGGGGGATTGGATAAATGAATCCTGTGTCTCCCGAGCCTGTGAACTGGACCGTGTAGCCTTTAACAATGGGGTTTTGCAGTGAGGAAATCGCACCCGCACCCACATGTGCTCAAAATGGAATCACGTTGGAAAGGGGCAGGAGGGGTGTCCACAGGGACCGACTGAGCTGCGCGCTTCAAAGTTTAGTTGCTGATTTTCATGCGAGGTCTACTTTGCCCCAATTAAAAATAAATCTTAAAGTGCAAGAAAAAGAAATTAGGGGAGAATCTGATACCATGCACACCATGTGTGAAATGACCTTAGGGAAGCGCAGCAAAACATCACCGGCCAACTGTCTTTGTGTCATGAGACTAAAGAGGCTTTTTTTCCTGGTTTCCTCTATTTTCCTGTTTTCCCTTTAGGGTCTTAGACCTACTGGTTTTATCTTTTCAGAAGGTACACACAGAGCTTCAAGCGCTCAGAACAGAGTAGGTGCCCAGGGAACCTCGGCTCCACTGGTTTTCATTTTTTTTTAATTTTTATTTATTTATGATAGTCAGACAGAGAGCGAGAGAGAGAGAGAGGCAGAGACACAGGCAGAGGGAGAAGCAGGCTCCATGCACCAGGAGCCCGACGTGGGATTTGATCCCGGGTCTCCAGGATCGCGCCCTGGGCCAAAGGCAGGCGCCAAACCGCTGCCCCACCCAGGGATCCCTCTACTGGTTTTCAGTGAGGCGCCGAGACCAGGATTGACAGGTAAGAGCGGGGCTTCCCTCCTAAATGGGGAACCTGAGAGTCTCAGAGCCAGGAAGTGGAAGAGGCAACGGGGTTAGCCCCCAGATCTCCCTAGTGAGTCGTTCCCGCACCAGGAAAGCAGTGTCTTCCTCTGTCCCCTGTGTGTGGGTTCAGCTCCTCCCAGCCTGGCTGGTTTCAGGATGACACTGGTGCCCGCCCAGCCACACAGGGGAGAGCTGTGACTTCAGGTCAGAGGGCAAAGTTCAGGCTCGCTCCCTCCAGCCCCTTGCAGCTCCTGCCCAACGCCCGGGTGAGATGCCTCTTTAGTGTACGAAGCCCAGGCTCCCCCTGCCCAGGATCCCCCAGCCCTTGCTTTTCCTGGTAACAACCCCAGAGGGACAGGACGTGGGTCTCAGTAGAACCGGGCCCAGGGTGGGAAGGCCCAGCGCAGAGCACTGCCCCTCCTGACGCATCCCACAGCCGATGTGTCGGGGGGGGGGGGCCTCCTCCCCGGGGCTGCGTAGGGACGCCCCCACCCCCTAGCCACGCTGGCCCATCCACCTGCCTGGAGGTGGCAGGGAGTCTGCGTCCAGCTGGGACCACAGAGCAGAGCCTGCTGTTCCACAAGCGCTTGTAGGATGGAATAAAGTGAAACGAAGGAGAAAAATGGGTTCAGGAAGGCAGTGGGACCGTGGAGGCGATCACCGCTTGTACATCTGTTCCACGGACACTGAACACCGTTCCTTGCTGGGCATCCCTGTGCCAAGGATGCAGACAGGTGTCCCGGCACAGAGCCCGGCTGCCCCGGGAGCACAGGCTCCGCAAGGAGGGGCTGGGAGGCAGGGGCAGGACTCGCTGCTGAGACCCAGGCCTCTCAGCTCCGGCTGGATTTAAGCCCTCGGCTCTGTCTCTCCGCTGGGCCTGGCTCCAGGCCCAGCCCGGCTCCCAGGCCCAGCTCCAGGCCCAGCCCGGCTCCAGGTCCAGCCCTGCAAGGCTGCGATGCTCTTGATCACCTGCGCGCAGCAGCACTTCGGCCGCCCTGCCCCTGTGGTCGGCCCTCCTGCCTCATGCCGCGGGAACTGGCTCCGCCACAGGAAGGCAGGCCATGAACGGCCTTGGGCCCTGGGCGGTCAGGCCGCGATGATGAAGCCCGGTGGACGAGGGCGGACGAGGGCCACAAGCAGCCGCCCCCACCCGGCCATCCCGCCACCTGCGCTTCCGGGCTCCCCTCCCTTGCTGGCAGTGTGTGTCTCCGGCCGGCAGGCCCCCCAGCCTTGGCCAGGCCCCACGGGCGCCAGGTTCCCTGTGGACTACCAATTAAAATACCAGACAACTAATCTTGCTAAAGTGGTGGGTGGAATTAGAGCTCACAGGCCCTAAATAACACTCATGGGGCATCTCCCTTGAGTAAAGTGTACGAGCTTTAATAGAAGCTCTTAGCTCCCCAGAAACTACTGTCTCCGTCTTCCCGCAAGCGAGTGCTGGGAGCCGGCCTGGCAGAGCGGGTCTGGGCAAGAGCCTTCCAGCTCAAGCATCACCACCACCCCCCCTCCCCCCCCGCTCCTGAAGACCACTCGTTCTCAAACCGCCAAGCTATGGGGTTTAAAGCCTTGGGCTGGGCAGGCTGGGCCCTGTCCCCGGAACCCCCGCAGCAGTTAGGTCAATATATCTGTAAATTGAGCTTCAAAATACTCCCATCAACTATGTCTGGTCTCACGTCTCTGTGAGGGAGGAAGGACAGAAATGTCCCCCCATTTTGCTGGTGTGGCCAGAGCGCAGGGTCGTGCAGTGTTGACAGAGGGTGTTAAGCTCCCTGGCTGGCAGCCAACCCAGCTAGCCTGTCAGGGCTTGATCCCCACTGTGTGGCCCTGGGCCAACCGCCTAGGTCCTCTGGGCCTCCACTAGCTCCTCTGAAGAGTAGAGAGAGGATAGTTGGCTTCATCAGCTTAAATGAAGGACCATGTAGTGTCCTAAGAACGGTGCCTGCGCCGTCTGCAGCTCCCCGGGTCAGCTGGGGGTGGGGGGGCTGGGCCCCAGGGAGATGGCTGCAGTGAGGCCAATAATGACCTTCTGGGGCATTTGCCAGAACTGGGCTGAGAGGCTCCCATGGCCCCGTCTCTCCCCCTCCCGGCTCCAGCTTCCCCAAAATAGAGCCCCGGCTTCCCCAGGATAGAGCCCCAGCTACCCCCAGGCTAGAGCCCCAGCTTCCCCAGGCTAGTGCCCCGGCATCCCCAGGCTAGAGCCCCGGCTTCCCCAGGCTAGAGCCCCGGCATCCCCAGGATAGAGCCCCGGTTTCCCCGGGTTAGAGCCCTGTTCCTGCCCAGAGCCAGCAGAGGAGGAGGGAGGCACCACAGCTCCTGGAGCCCACAGGGCCCAGGGGAGGGGCAAGCACAGAGCACCGCTGGCCCCAGGTGGGCCCCTTCCTTCCCTGCCACCCCCCACGCCATCCCCCACGGCCCAGGCCCTATGGGGGGCTGCTCCTAGCCACCCTTCTGCCCTGGGGCCCTGGGCTGACACAGATGTCCGGGGGCCAAATGTGCAGGGTCTCTGGGTCCGCCCTGGGCCATAGAGCACCCTGCTTTCCAGGCCTGTGTCTTTCCCCCACTTTGCGCCCCTTCAGCTCCTCTGGAGCCTGGGTGCTGACTCACCGCCCCGCCCCCACCGCAACCGCCGCCCCCCTGCTGCTTGGTTGGGCCCAGGCGGCCCCGCCATTGGCTCCCCTGACCTAAGCCCATCTCTCTCTTGTAGAGATGGGGAGAGAGAGGCCCAGCGAGGAACAGGGTTCCCTGCAGCCGGCCCTCTGCCCACTGTGCGGTCAGGGCAGGCCGGACGCAGGCCATTTGCACGCTGACCACAGGCCCCAAGCAGAGCAGGGCCCGGAAGGGAAGGCAGGCCTGGCTCGTCCGCTCTCACTGCCCTGGCCTCTCACCGCCCTGGCCTCTCACCCACCCTGGCCGCCCCAGGAAAGGGCACAGGGTGGGGGGTGCTGTTGGCTGTGGCTGCGTGACTGAGTGAGGGGCCAGGGAGTCCTCTGCCCTCAGGACCCTCACCCCCACCCCTCGGTGGAGGGTCTGCGCTCTCTCGGGGCCGCTGGGCCAGCCGGAGCTCGGGAAGCAGAGGGCGAGGGTCGCGCCACCGCAGAGAAAGCTGCGGTGGATCCGGCCGAGGCGGCTTGCAGGCCGCATGGCCACGCCAAGCCTGTCACCTGGAGCCTGCGGGGGTCGCTGTCTCACGCAGGGGACGTGAGGTGCACCTGCGCTGGGCAAGGGGGCTCGAGGCGGCGAGGACGAGAGGCGGCGTGTGGGAGAAGACCTGCCCGGGCAGGCCGGCAAAGGGCTGCGACTCCGCCTTAGATCCCCCCTCGAGTCTCACCAGCTGAGACCGTCCTTAAGGCTGACCTGGCCCGAACAACTGGGGAAACGAGGCAGGAGAGGTCACACGGCTTGCCCCGTCCCTAAGTAGCAGAGCCAAGACCCGAATTTGGGTCCCCAAGCCCCTTGGCGCCCCCGTCCTCGCTTCCCTGGGCCTGCCCCCACTCGCACCACAGATTGGATCCTCCCACAGAGACCCTGGGGCAGTGCTCTCAGAGGTCAGGCGGGGTGGAGAGCCTCCCAGGTGCCCAGGCCAAGGGCCTCTCCCTCCCCGACCCAGAAGGACAGGAGCACAGGTTGCAGTGGTTAAGGCCAAAAGTCAGCTGCTGTTTTTATGAGAAAACCTCCTTCTGGAGTTGCATCCCCATCAACCGCGGGGCGGGGGGATTTCAGCCTGGCTGGCCTCCCAGTGCCCACTGCACTTGTCCAATGCCCCGGAGGTTTCACTCACCCAAAAGGCATCTCTGAACTGCAGCTGAGGCATCATCCTGGGGCGACTGGTGCAGCGCAGCTCGCTCTCCTGCCACACGGCCAGGGCTGAAGAGGGCCAGCAGACAGGAGCCAGGAGCCAGCAGCCAGCAGCCAGGAGCCAGGAGCCAGCAGCCAGGAGCCAGGAGCCAGGAGCCAGGAGCCAGCAGCCAAGAGCCGGGAGCCAGCAGCCAGGAGCCAGCAGCCAGCAGCCAGCAGCCAGCAGCCAGCACCAGGCGCAGGCCGTCCCGCTGCGGCTGCCCAGGCCCCTCCCGGCTGGTGCCTCTGAGGCAGCTGCAAGCCAGAGGAGCCGCCCCAACGGAGGGAAGGACCCAACCTGTTTTGTTTGGGGCTATAGCAGCAGCAGCAAAATGAGGAAGGAGCTGCGGCCTTCAGGATGGGAGGGCGGGCCCTGGTGTCCCGCCACCCGCAGCATGCAGACCAGTCAGGCTGCAGGGGTGAGCACGCTCTGGGTGGGGAGTCTTGTGCAAGCGCCCAGGGGAAGGCAGCAGGGCCCTTGCCACAGGAAGTGGAGCCGCGGGGCTCCCTCCTGCAGCCCCGCCTGCCACCTGCCACCCCTGGGGAAGCCCTAGTGGGGCCACTCTCCAAGGCATTGACTTAGGGACCCTGGAGCCCCCGAAGGTGCGGGCCAGCACAGGGCAGGACCTGAGTGCCGTTGCCCCCCCCAGCTCTGGGCCAAGCCACACCCCCACTGGCCAGCCAGGCTCTGGCTGCCTGGTGCCCCGATACAGCCCCCCTCAAGGGGGTCACGGTCTGGGGGCAGACAGCTGGGGGGGACAGAGCTGGGGGACAGGCAGCTAGCCCTTGTAGGAGGGTGGGAGGCCTGGTGGGCGCTGCCCCCTGCGTCTCTGGGGCAGGAAGACAGTGGCGGAGCCGAGAGATGGAATTATAAGGCATCGCGGAGTCTGAACACCTGGGCGGAGGTCCCGTGTTTGTCTGTCTGGCCCTGCCCTGCAGCGGTCGAGAACCCTAATTCACCCTCCAGCTCTCCAGCACCCGCCCCCATCTCTAGGAGGGAGCCCACGTGGAGAGCACGGCCTGGATTCCCGGTTTGGTTGGGCAGGTGCTGGGGTCGCTGTCGGCTGCCACCTTGGAAGGGGCCCTGGGCCGCCCCCACGCGGAGCCCAGGAGCGGGGGCCTGGCCACTCAGCAGAACGCACCTTCGGGGCCCCGAGCCCAGGGTGGGTAGGCGAGAAGGGGTGAGTCAGCCTTGGCCACAAATCATCACCTCACCGATGCCTCAGAGGGGCGATAAGACAGATGAGAGCTGGAGCAGACGGGAGCTGAGCTGCCCGATGCTTCCAGATGGGGCGCAGCTGTACCTGGGCCCAGCCTCCCCGGGGAGGGCCCGGCACAGCAGGCTGCCCTGCCTCCAGCACCTGCAGGGCACCCCTGCCTCCAGAACCCTTAGGTTTGAGCCAATAAACATCCCCAGGCTTGAAGGCCCCAAGGTCTGTGTCGCCCGTAGCTGATGCCAGCTCGGTGAGGCCGCCCCGTACCCCAGGACCTGGAGCTCCACCATCATGGCACAAACTGCTCCCTGGCCTCAGCTTGTCCATCTGTCAGTGGGGCTGATGCCTCTAGTTCTGGAGGCATACAGAAGCCCCTGGTAAGAGAAGGCCTCCACCCTCTCCTTGGCAGGAAACTGCACAGCCAGGCCCTTCCCCTGCCTCCCCAGGGGTTCCTCTCATCACCCCAACAAGCCTTTTCCCACTTACCCGAAGGTGCCTTTCTCGCTGCTGTACTTTTCTCCTCTGCTCTCCAGCCTCCGTCTTGGTGCGTCTTCCTGGCCCTCCCTGACCAGGCAAATCCCCCTGGGCCACCCCAGGGACCCCATGCAGAGGCTTCCGAGCTCTCGGCCCAGGTCTCCCTTCTCCCCTCACCCCGCCCCTGCTCCCCACATCCCAAGCCCGGGCCCCTGAATGACCAACTCGTCCCTGGAGCCCTGGCCAGGTGCCGGGGCCCCGGGAAGCCCTCCACGCGGCCCACCTCCCGAAGCCTCAGCCGGTGCTGGGGGCTGCACCCCATCATTGCCTCTGCTTCCCAGAGGAGCAAACCAGGGAGCAGGGTTTGCATGACTCACGCGAGGCCTCACAGCCCACGAATGGGGTCTGTCTTAACCTTTCCCAACAGTGGGCCTCAGCCTTGCTTTCTCCAGTTCCGCATCCAGAACCTCTCACGCCCCCCGGAGCTGGAAAAGGTGAACCCCGGGAGGTCGTTGGGGCTGCGGGCACCAGGGCAAGGGCCCAGCACGGGCTTGGGCTTCCAAAGTCACTGTTACCTGCCTCCACTGGAGATGTTGTGGCTGCGGGAAACATGAAAGCAAAGGGCCTAACGGGAGGAGGCATGTCGTCTCCCACATGAGGGGCCCCGAGGCAGCGCGGCCTCCAGGTGGGGGGCCTGTGGTTCACCTCTGTTTCTCTCCCCGCAGGGCCGCAGCAGCTCAGCTCTAGGACCCCAGACAAAGCCTCGTCTATAGGGAGGCAAAGGCCGCCTCTCCCGACATCTCAGCTTCTTCATTTTTTTTATAATTTTATTTTTTTTTATTTTTTTTATTTTTTAAAAAAAATTTTTTTAAATTTTATTTATGATAGTCATACAGAGAGAGAGAGAGGCAGAGACACAGGCAGAGGGAGAAGCAGGCTCCATGCACCGGGAGCCCGACGTGGGATTCAATCCCGGGTCTCCAGGATCGCGCCCTGGGCCAAAGGCAGGCGCCAAACCGCTGCGCCACCCAGGGATCCCCATCTCAGCTTCTTCAAAGTCCTCTCCGCCCTCATCCTGCCCAGAGACCTCCCCCGGGGTCTCGTGACCAGAAGTGAGCCCCACGTCCATCTGTCACCCCTCGAAGGAGATCCTGGGCTGCCGTGGACGCTGACGGCCGACTGCGGTGACTGCCACCGCTTCTGTCCGCAAGCACCGCTCGGCACCACCTCCCGCCAGGCTTTGCAGGAACCGGGGCCCAGGAAGCAGACAGATCTGGTCTCTGCCTGGAGGGGCCTGCAGGCAGGTTCTGGAAAGGTCTCCCCGTGATGGGAAGTAGCTTGGGGTGGGGGTGGGAGGTGAGGAGGGTGTGATAACATCCAGGAGAGAGACGAGGCCCAGGCGCGGCCCCGAGGTGGGGGCCTGGGTGGTGAGCCACGAAGGAGGTACAGAAGCGGGACAGAGACACCTGAGTGCCCCTCAGGAAGGGGAACTCTCTTGGGGCCTCCCTTACTCACCACCTCCCGTTGCCTGGAGCCCGGGAAACAGCAGCATCATCGCTGCGCGGCGCCACCTAGGGGATCAGTGTCTGGGGAACCTGGTGATTCACACACTCTGGACCCCGTCCTACAGGACGAGCAGTGCCATCTGCAAGGTCAGCGCCCCTGGCACCCCGAGCCCCCCGTGCCTGCACCCAGGTCCCTGCTAGGGGCACGGAGTGGCAGTGGCCCTAGGCCGGCGAGGATGAAGCTGAGAACGACGTGGGGGCAAAGTGGTGACCAGGCCCCCGGACCAGCCAGGGCTCCCGGCGCTTCCCTGTCCTATCAGCTTCATGCACAAACACAAATTCGAGGATCGTATTAAGGATTTCAAGGGGCTCCTGGTTGTTGCAGCCGGTGAAGCGTCCGACTACTGGTTTCGGCTCAGGTCCTGATCTTGGGGTCCTGAGGTCGAGCCCCAAATCTGACTCTGAGCTCGATGCAGGCCTGTGTGAGATTCATTCCCTTGCCCTCTGCCTCTGTCTCTGCCCCTCCCACCCGCTCGCACGCACTGTCTCTCTGTCTCTCTCTCAAATAAATAAATAGACCTTAAAAAAAAAAAAGAATTTCAACAAGGGGTAGTGGAAGGGGAAGCAGGCAGGGTGGTTAGGGGGACTGGGTGACGGGCACCGAGGGGGGCACTTGGCGGGATGAGCACTGGGTGTTATGCTATATGTTGGCAAATTGAACTCCAATAAAAAAATTTTTTTTTTTAAAGTTTCAAGACGACCATCAGGGAGCATTAAGCCCCAGGTGCAGGGCTCCTCTGAGCAGGAGTCCAGGGCAGCTGTGCTCACGGCTCATCCCTGAAGCAGGGGCTGTCACAGTTTCAGGCCCTTCCCATTGTCACCTTGCTAGGACTCCCCATTGTTCTTAGGACAATGGTCGTTGTTTTTTTTTTTTTATTTACGTATTTATTTGAGATGCGGGAGGGGCAGAGGGAGAGCGAGCATCTCCAGCGGAGGCCCTGCTGCGCAGAGTCCGGTGCCAGGCTGGATCCCAGGACCCTGAGGTCATGTCCTGAGCTGATTCAGGAGTCAGCCACTCGGCCCACCGAGCTGCCCGGTGCCTGAGGTCCTGGTTCTTACGCAGCTGCCCCCCTGGGCGATCCGGGCCGCCTACGGCTCCGCGCCTCCTCCTCCTCCGGGAGGACTGGAGCAAGAGCTTGGAGAGCCCTGGGGCGGAAGGGGCCGTGGAGGAGGAGGGTCTCCAGGCCGCCTGGTGACATCAATCCCACTTGGAAAGGGCAGTGCCTGGGCTCCGAGGCGCCGTCGTGGGCTCTCTGCTAACACGCTGTCTGAATCGCGCCCGTCATCCTCCAGCAGGCCGGGCAGCACTGGCCCCCCTGGAAGGGCAGCGCGCTTCTGGGAGGTCAGGAACCCGGGGCCGCACTGTCAGGAGCCCGGGGCCGCACTGGGATGCTCCTGTGACCGCGGTCCATGCCCCGGAGGGTGCCTGTGGGGTCCCGCTGGGCGGCCGGACACGCACCCGCTGGGCTGGGGCTCATACCCTCAACCCCGCCTACTAGAAACCCCACAGCAGTGCAATGATCTCATTTACCAGGCTTCCTCTGGGGTCATGAACACCAGTCAGGCAGTGTGCTTAGTGGCAGGAGAGCAGCACCCACGAGAGAGGCTCCGCCGAGAAGTCCTCCCACAGGAGGCGACCCGGGGCCCCATAGATGAGAAGGAACCCACTGCTGAGACCAGGCAGGAAGGGAATTCCAGAAAAAGTGCCAGAGCCTGTTGGGGCCTCAGGGCCTCCGTCTCGCTGCCAGGCACCTCATGCGCTGTAGGCCTCACTTAATCCAGCAGATACAGAAAAGGAGGCTCGGAGTGGTTTACGTCTTAGGTCCCGTCCTAAGCGGAGCCCTGCCTGCCCACCGCGCGGGGCCGGAGGTGAGAGGTGGGCCAGGGTCGGTGGCCAGGGCACGATGGGAAAGCAGGGAAGGAGGTGCGCACACCCAGGCCCAGGCCGGCAGGTCCTAGGTCTGACCCTGGGAGCCGGCCGCCTCCCCCCAGAGCCTGGATGGCTCCCGATGCCATGACTCAGCACACAGGACCTGACAGAGACTGTTTTTCAG